TTTGACTGATTGCACCTACGAATTCCATTCACCACTCCCTCAGCCCTGCCCAGCTTCCTCTTAGTTTAGTGTAGTCCATTTATTATACTTAATGATTTAATGAACCTATATCAAGGTATTGTTAAGTATAGTCCATAGTTCACATTAAATTTTACTTTTATTTAAATTAAAGATTTCTTTGTTTATGCATACAGAACTGGGGTACATGCCAGAGGTTGAGGGCTGGTGACAGGATTCACCAGGGACAGAGTGGGGAGCAGAACAGTCTGACTGACAAAGTACAATGCTGAGGGGAGCAGAAGAAGGATCAGGAGAGGTCTGCCACGCCATGTGGTCACGTCCCTGACGAGGATCAAACTCATGCAGAGGTGGCTTTAGCTTCTTAGTGCTGTGCTTTACCTGCTGCGCCACCAGGGAGGGCCAAATTTCACTTTTTTTTTTTTTTTTGTACAATTCACTAGGGTCTTGACAAATGGAGAGTGATGTATACTACCATTGCAGTAATATCCAGGAGTGTTTAGAGCCCTAAAAAATCCCCTGAGCTTCACTTACTCATCCCCCCATCCTTCCTTCGATATCCTGGTAATCAGCAGTAATTTTTACTAGCTGTATATAGTTTTGGGTTTTCTAATTATCATACAGTTAGAACCATAATTTTTAAGTTCTCTGAATGTTTTGTGAGATTTGGTTGGACAACAATTAGAACAAAAAGCAACAAGACTTGAATGCTTATTCCCTTTGATATCTGTATATTACACTATTTCTTTATGATGTTTGACCAGAGAAATAAAATTCAAATATTTAATACCTTTAGCACAATATTGTCTGTCATCTAATGCATATGATGACTATTCACTGTGTGATGAGATAGAATATTTCTTTGCTATATACTTGCATATTTACAAAGGAGACATAACACATTGTGGTCATGTCCAAACATGTTTGTTAGTCTGTTCATTGCTTTGGAATGTATAAACAGAATTCCTCTATCCCCACACCCCTTAAGGGAATCCTCCTTACCTTATACTACTCCTTACCTTACACTCCTTACCTTACACTCCTAACCTTATACTAGCTTCGTATCACGTATGTGTCTAACCAGAGGTTCAAGTTTGCTGTTAACTGTTAAATAGATTCTGATTGCTTTAGGTAAATCTGATGATTCCTAAAAGCCCTGAGGGATAAATTGATCAGGGAAAAATATAACTAAAAAAAATGGAAAATTTAGAGCATTTAAATGTATTTGTTCAATTCAAATGTGACTACATAAAAATATAAATGTAAAACACACAAAGAATTCATTATGTTATGCATCTGGTGTAAATTTTCTTAAGGAATCAACTATTTCTTAAATGAGATGTTGATGTAAAGCAGTTGAATTTAATATTTATTAATTTTCCACTTACATGCAATAGATAACACTTTCAAAACCTTTTAAACCAAGTTCCAGATTGTCACTGTAGGATATTTCTACTTTTTTCCTTTTGTTCTGTTACATGTGTTTTCTTGCTATATTTTTGCTTTAGTTTAATTTTTATAAATTCACAGTTTTAAGGCTTTTGTATTTAAGAGCTTGCCCTTGAGCATATAAAAAGGAAAAACCCCTAGTCTGAAAGCACGGTCAACGATGACCATCTAGACTTCATGCAGAGAAATCTTAACAGCTAGTAGGTGTTCTAGCTTAGAAAAATAAAACAATAGGGAGGAAAGTGAAGTGAAGCACCTACTCTACTCACAGTGAATTTTCAATGACTTTTCAACTTGCGAAACAAATGATCAAAGTTAAAGATTGCTTTTAAACATGGTGCTCATATCATTAAACTTTCATTTACTAATGAGGGAAACCAAGGCATGAAAACTGAGACATGTTCCCAGTAAAAAAGGCACTTGCAGGGAACCTCCCTGGTGGCCCAAGGGGTTAAAGTGCATTACTATGAAGAAATACATAACCATTGAGCAAGAGTTCGATCCCCAGCCAGGGAGGTGACCTACATGGTACAGCATACTTCTCCTGTCTTATCTACTGCTCCCCTCAGCAGTGCTCCCTTTTGTATCCAAATCATATTTTCTTCCTCTAATAACCACAATAGGCTATAAAGCAAAGAACTTTGTATGAGCTACCAGGATATAATATTATGTCAAAACTGTAAACAGATGAATGATATAGTGTGGGTATTGTCCTCTTTATATGATGAGGTATTATTTGAACAAACTACATTTCAGCTGTTACCTATAGAAAAAGAAAACCGTATTGCCTCTGTGATGTTTATGCTTATAAATTTATGTAGAAATGTCCACAAATTCAAATAAGACATGTCTTTTGCTTAAAGATTTGATTTAGCCTTCCTTTTTTTTTTAGGATTTATTTATTTATTCATACAGAACTGGGGTACAGGCCAGAGATGTGGAGGGGGATAGGATTCACCAGAGACAGAGCGGGGAACAGAACAGGCAGATCTATGAAGTATATTGCTAAGGGGAGCAGCGGGCAGGTCAGGAGAGGTCTGCCATGCCATGTGGTCATCTCTGGGTCAGGCGGGGATCGAACTCATGCGGAAGTGGCTTTAGCTTCTCAGTGCTGTGCTTTAACCCACTGCGCCACCTGGGAGGGCCCTATCCTTCCTTTTTTATGATCACTTTCTATATTTTGTTTTCAACTCATGCAAAATCTACCAACATATATTTTTAAGTGTCTGTAAGCACCTAGCTCTTAACATTTGGTCTTAATAGGTTAGTACACTTTTTTTCTGTGGTAAAGTATGTAAGGAGTAAGTGATTTCCCTAGAGATTAAGTAATACCTAGAAAATGTGGGTTTCTATTCATAACTTAGAGAAATTAATTGGAAAATCTCAGTAGAGCTGAGTCCATCTTACAAATGGCTTCCATGTTGAGCAATTCTTGTATTGTCATAATCTTCAATGGAATGTTTCTGATAAAGACTATGTGAGAAACTGTTCTAAGTGGATAATAAGGAGGAGAAAAATATGTGGTAAAAGTAATCACTATTTACAAAATAGATTGTTGACTATATCTAATACAGCAACAGAGAAAAACTAATCAACTATATTTGATATTAAACATGGTTTGATCACATTAAGTCATTTTACTGATATTTTAAAATGTATTGTTTTAAAATAAAAGCAGGCTCAATAAAAGCAGGCTCAATAAAGAATTTTTTATATAGATATAAAATCCTAGTAAGAATCACTTAAGAAAAACCCTCTCATTTTGTTCTACAAAGTAATTAAATGATAATGCTAGGAACAAATTGAAAGAATGCTAATAGGTTTTTATAAAAGTAGTTCAGATTATGGTGTTTGTTTTTTTCTTTTGCTTCTTAATGTCTGAGAAGCTTAAAAAACTTATTTCTCAATTGTAGCACAGAAATCTAACATGCAGTAGATATTTGGGATAATTCATATTTTATATTGTCAAATTCATGTCCTTTTGTGGGTAAGTAACCATGTTAGCTTAGAACAAGACAACAATAAAACATCAACCCATTTTCCTTTTTAGTTAATCTGGTACCATTGTTTACTTATTTCCTTTCTTTGCTTATTGTTGCTGAATAAAACGCTTTTGCACTACTGCCTATTGTATGCTTTGAATGGAGCTATAATTTATATTCTATAAAGAAAGGTTTTAAGGCAACATGTTTTGTTCCTTTAAGTGTATGTACAAGTTTGAGGAATAGCAATCCAAAATCTTTTATTAAACAAAGAATGAAGTGAGCCAATTTAATATAATTTTAGGCATTGTTGTTCTGACACCATAATAAAGCTGAAAAAAGTTTTTGGTCTCGATAAAACAGAACACTGTCTGTGTTAACCTGGTCAAATTTGATATAACCAGGATCTGTTATAAATTATTTCTTTGTGGTAAGGCTTGACTGATACATGCTAATGGAATTCATGGACCATCTGAGGCTTTGGAAGAAGGCATTCCATAAATATTTGTTGAATTTAAGAGTGAATGTGTGTAAGAATAAATTATTTTCATGTGCAGTAATAACACCTTAGTCTGAGTAGAATCTTAGAATCTTTATAATATTAGAATCTTTATAATAACTGTTATCATTATAAATTTTTTTCCATTAAAACTTAAAAGGTAGAAGGTGCACTTGGACAAAATTTTTATTTTTACCTTAAACAAAACAGTCCTAGACAATTTAAGTTTCCAAAACAGATTTTACTAAAATGATAACTTTTAAATGGTCTATCATAGTAATTCTGTACATGGTGAAAAAAAATGTTATCGGTAAGTTAAGTTATAGTCTACTTGTTAGGAAGTATCTGTACTGAATAATTTAGCAATTAGGTGTGGGAGGTTGGAGAAGTTCATGCTCTTTTTAATGCTCATCATGAGAATTGTGTGATAGTTCTTGCTGCAGCAGATACAAAAGTCGAAGTGTTGCAGTGAATGTTCCCAGTTATTGTTACCAGCTGACCTCTCTCCACATTATAATAGTGTTGAATAAGGTTGAGAACCATGAAATTCTAGAATTTTAGAACTGGGAAATCATATTTTAACTTATCCAAAAGTCCCATTGGCCTATAGCTGGGGACACTGAGACTCATAAATGTAGAGATGAGTCAAACCAACACAATGAATGTTTTTAATTAAATAGGTTGTTTTTATACAGTTTTAAGTAAGTAGTACTTTGGAATCTGAACTTGTCTTGTGGAAGGTTTATGTAAATTAACTTCATTTTTTTTCTCCACCATACAGCGTACATTTCACTGGATTTTAGCAATCCATGTCTGTCTCTTCTAGGAGGATGCAAAGGTTTTTGTGGCAGTCATCTTGCCTGACTGTTTTATACATTTGCACTGTTAACATTAATCCTGATGACTGTAGCAGAGCCATCCTTCAAATATTTGGACAGTGTATTAATGTCCCATAGCAATAAGAGAAAACTTAATAACCATTCAACTAATAAATCAAGCATCTCTTAAAATATCTGATTAACACAGACTGTGTTCCATTTTTCTCCCTACAGTCTCCAAACGTCCACAACTACCCCGATATGGAAGCTGTTCCCCTGTTGCTAAACAATGTGAAAGGGGAGCCCCCGGAGGACTCGTTATCTGTAGATCACTTCCAAACACAAACTGAGCCAGTGGACTTGTCAATCAACAAAGCCAGGACCTCCCCCACCGCTGTTTCGTCCTCCCCGGTTTCCATGACAGCATCTGCCTCCTCACCTTCTTCTACTTCAACATCTTCATCATCTTCTAGTCGTCCAGCCTCATCCCCAACTGTTATAACATCGGTTTCTTCAGCATCATCTTCGTCAACAGTATTAACTCCAGGGCCCCTTGTTGCCTCTGCATCTGGTGTAGGAGGCCAGCAATTTTTGCACATTATCCACCCTGTACCGCCTTCAAGTCCCATGAATTTACAGTCTAACAAACTGAGTCATGTTCACCGCATCCCTGTGGTGGTACAGTCGGTGCCTGTTGTCTACACAGCTGTGCGGTCACCCGGAAATGTGAACAACACTATTGTCGTGCCGCTTCTGGAGGATGGGAGAAGCCATGGCAAAGGTAAGAGAGACAAGTGAAGTCTTGGTTTATGGCAAGCCTACAGGTAATTTCACTGGGTGGACAGATCCTCAGCTGTATACAGACTTGATGCATCCAAAGAGATTCCATGCAGGACAGAGGTATCAGCTGATCAACCACTGACTCGTTCACAGTTTAGTAAGAACTAACCTCATATTTATATTCATACGTTCTCCAATATTTTTTACTGTGTTGATATATTGGCATGCATCATGTCATTCAGTGTCAGACTTCAAAGATTAAATTAGCACAATAATGCTTACCTCGACACTTTGGATTAGGACAGTCTGTAGTTGGGACAGTCTGTGGAAAGACAATCTGTAGTTGTAATCCTTAGGAAAGGTTACAAGACAAGAAGATACTTTGTTATGTGACTATATGTAATAATACCTAGTTTCCTAACTACATCTGATAGTTATGGAGCTGATTTTGAAGTTATTTTTCCATTTCTATATTCTTATTTTTTCCCATTGTTTACTAGAAAGACTTTTACTAGCATTATTTGGTTGACTTTGTTTTCCCTTTTCAGGCACCTAAAGATTTAGCTACCCTCCCACACAAATGTAAAATGCCTAAATCATCAGCTCATTCCCTTTTAATATGAGTACATGTATATATTTCTTTGGTCTTCAAAGTCTACAAACAGTGATGAATTAAGACGTATGGAATATTGCTTTTTGCTTTGATAGGATCTTATTGCAGCAAATAATTAAAATGTGATCTATGAACACATAAACACTGTCTTCTCACAAAATGGTGGTTTGGGGTTCTGTATAGGACAGGATTCAATACACAGAATTAACATTGGGTTATGAACTTAAGAGAAATATTTGCAAATAAATACTAAACATTTGTACATTTACCTCTAACAAGTTACAGGTTGTATCTGCAATTAATTTTTTCACAGCACATGAGATAAATTTTACCTTCCCAGTCTTACCAAGCAAAAAAATGTCACAATTCGAAGCAATAAAACTGTGGACAGCAAATGGAGGAAAACCTGTGCTTACCTGACCACCTCACTATGTTGTGCTGCTACACACAGTGTCCAGGAACTAGCTCCATCATCTTCTTGAAAAATTAGGAGAAAAAGGAGAATCAGGATGCCCTCAGTTGGATTTTACCTTAACTGAACCCTCAAAGTTGTTAATACTTATGAGAAAAATGAGCTAATTCACTTAAATAATACTGAGAATCACATTAGCTATTTTCTTTTTAAATTTACAGTTGTGTTTATAAATTTTCTAAGAATTATGAATAGCAAAATTATAACCATAATTTATATTATGTGCACATGCATATATATATGTGTGTGTGTGTGTACACTATAGAATCCAATCTTTTTGTGACTACTACTTAAAGGAAATGCTACTTTTACTGGTTAAAATTTTAATGCTGTTTCTGATTTGTTTTTGTTTTGTTTTGTTTTTTTTACAATTTGGATTTATTACTTTAATAAACAAGAAATACCTCCTTTTTGCCATTATAATTTTATAGGTAAGCTTATTTTTCATTAACATATTTAACATAAGCATTATATTGCCAGAATTAAATTTTCTGGGAAATGTAACTTTGCAAGAGAACTTTGTAAAATCTCAGGTGGTCATTTGTTCTGTACATGAGTATTTTTTTTAGTTTTATGTGATGTTTTTCACAGTAGTTTTCTGAAATTAATAACAGGAAATTTTTTAGTTGTAAATCATTAGACTGTGAGACAAATGTTGCAAACATGAGCGTTGGGATCAAGAGTGTATGAACTAAAAGCCTAGTTTTCTCACATACTGATTTGGACTTGGGGGACTCATCTCATCACATTAGTTTTCATTCTCTCAAGGAATAAAATGGGGATAATAACATCTATCCTTGAAGATTATTGGGAAGGTTAGTTAAGAGCTTATGGGTAAATATCTAAGAATCATCAAATCATCAGCTCAATAATTTTTTACAATTATTATTTTTATTATTTCCTGCCAACAATAATGTTCAGAAAATTGTTTCTCTGTCTTGTAAAAATTGAATCTGGAGAGAGAAAAACCCATTAAATTAAAAATGAAAAGCTTCCCAAGAAATTGATCTGGAAATTCCACTATAAGTTGTTACTACACATAACAACTGAAGAGGTGTGAACCTATACTTCTGAATCATAATCAACACTGTAAACAAATGTTACCTGGGGGGGGGAGTATATATATAAAGTTGTTATTATCACAACTTATAAAGAATGAGAATTTGGCGTGAAACACTGTCTGGAAACATCCTGTATTTTCTATTTTATTAGTTTGTATTAAGTTTTTATGATCACTATATTCTAGAAATATTACTGTAACATTTTATAAGTTACTTTATTATTTAATTGATTAATTAGATGATGTTAAAATGTGTCTGGGGGGAAGGCCTGCCTACCTCATTGATTAAGGGACAGGGTATATTTCACTAATTCCTCAAGTCTTTATTTTTGCATGTATGTGGCCGGGCACTGAGCCAGCAATGAAATGGCTGAGTGATAAAAAGTGCCTCTGATCCATTTCCACCTAGGACTTGTAGATCTAATGTGAATGGGCAAAAAGAAATATGATAGGAAAGTTGGATTTTCAAAATGCTAATAATAAAAATACAAAACTAACTCATATAAATGTAAGTGAATGCACTGGCTAGTGACTTTTAAAGTTGGTATAATATATCTGTTCTCTAATGGAGGGGTAGATTATCTCATATGTCACATTACACAAAAGATTGCGAATATCCACATTCATGTCTAAGGTAGTTCATTATGTGAAGTGAGTCATTGCCCATTCAAGTATTTGTTGAACATCTATCATGTATCAGGCATTTTATGGGGACCAGGGATCCGGTGTGAAACAAGCCAGATGCTGTTTCTATCTCAGAATACTTAGACTACTGGGAGATAATGGCATGAAATAAAAAGATCACACAATTAACTGATAATTGTGAACAGAGTTGGATTAAAACATAGACAAGCCATGGATTTGCCCAGGGGAGAGGATTTAATTATAATAGCACACAGAGAATGAAGTAATTGACAAAAGTAATTTCATGGAGGGTGTTATACATGGTTGGAAGAAGTGTTGCACTAAGATATTCAGAGAATGGTTAGGATTTGGGGATGTGGTTAGATGAAACTTTGATGTGGGTATGCTTCACTGACACAGTGATGTGAAAATGCTTTCCAATTTAATGAGGATAGAACTTCAGCCCATTCAAGTCTTTTTAGACCATTGGTCTAAAGGAATGGCAAGCTGCTAGCTAGCGCCCGCACTGAGTTCCAGTTGGGCCTTGAACTAATATTTTCACCTAGAATTGTGAAGGGGGAGGTTTCAGAAGAGGTCTTTCAGAAAAGACAGTTTCCTCTTGGTACCAAAAGGATACAATGAAAGTTTGGCCCCCAAAGTAGTCGTGCTCATTGGGAAACTTCCTGTGTAGCAAATAGCCAGGGGACTGGCCTGGTCCTTTTGATACCTTTTCAACTGAGATATATTATTTATACACTAAGACCTTCAGGAGTTTATTTGTCCTCATAAAATAATTTCAGTCTTTCCTGTGGAAGTTTTTGGTAGATTTTCCAGGAGATGTCTTTTGCATTTTTTTAACAGTTACTTAGTAAAAAAGCATGAAAGATGGTTACAGATAGCAATGTTGTTCTTGGTTCATTACTTCTCTGATGGAAGAGTACCTGTGATTAGGAGTCTCCTGCCTTCCTTGGGGTGAGCTAGGGAGGTAAAAGAAATAATGTTTAGGAGATTGCAAGGGAGATGGTGTTTTAAAGAGGTCATCATCAGTTATATTGTCAGATAAAAGGAGGATTGACTAACTGTTGAACATCTGATGAGTGTTTCTTGGTGATATGGCATGTCTTATGGCAGTGGAGAGGTGCAGGAAAAGGACTGAGTGCAGTTTATGTGCAAATAGATGGAAGGTGAAGATAGTCAGTCTAAACAACTTTTTGCATAGTTTTACTGGAAAATAAAGTGGCGAAATGAAATGCTAACTTGATGCACATAGGTTCTCAAAGGAGAGATTTTTATTAACAAAGGGTGTTAGTATAGCTTATTTGTATGCTGTTAAGAGTAATTCAGTAGAGAGTTGATGATGGATAATTCTGGAAAGGGAAAAATTATAGAAGCAAAGTCCTTAATTGCATTGCTTGTTCTTATACTGTGAAAGTAACTAGTATCTTGCAATAATTACTCTGAATTCTAAAGTCACTTTTTTAGATGGGCATTTTTAGGGAAAAAGATAAAAAGAGAAAATGAAAGGAAATGCACAAACAGAAGATAATCTTGGATTGACAGGAAAAGCAGATAAATAAAAGTTAAGTAAACCTTGGGTACCATTGAGAATTATAAAAGTGATATTCGAGTTAATATAAATGTAAGGTCAGACACTTCTCATTCATGGTCCAGTGCAATATATATAAAACAATACATAAACCCAAAATAATTTGCATTTGTCATTGCAGACTTTTTAAATCTTGCAGTATTGAAATTAAATTTCAAAAGATTCAAAATACTTAAAACATAATCCCATAACCACCCTGTGAAATACAAATAAAGAAATTAAATAAGCTTATCCCTTCCCTTCCATACTAAACTGGTCCTTTTTCTGTGTAGCTACAGGAACAGATAGATAAATCACCTCAATGCCCAGGAAGGTGGCTCAAGTTTTAGTTTATGTAGATGGTCTGTTATTTCTCCTCCATGACCCATTATTGCCCTCTCTGTATCATCTAAAACCCAGCATATACTTCTGTGACTGCCATATAATAAATAGATTGCCTGAAAATATCTCAGCCTCAGACCGACCCCCATGTAGCTACATTCTCGCTGAGGACAGTGCAATTTCAGTAGCCCACTCTACCAGAATTTCATAAAACATTTATGCCTTAGACTTTCTTGTAATGGTGTCACTTGAAGAATAACTTGTTCTGGGTCATATGGGTCTTGTTCCTGGCAGAAAACAATTAT